GCTAAAAGCCTCCAGCAATATCCATGACACAGCCCAAATATTATGCTGCCTAGAAATTTCTTCTGCCAGATTAAGAAGTGCATCACTTTTAAAATTAGCCTCACAGAAAGGCTTGGGTCACAGGTAAATTGTAGACAACTTCTTAGCCAGAACATAACATGCATGGCCTCTAGCCCAATTTCCAATAGAGTCCTCCTTCTCCTCTGAAAGCTTATAACCCCATTCTTTACTGTGTGTAGTCCTGTCAGCATTCTGGTCTTCTGAGTTCACACCAGAAATATCCATAAAGTTCCATTTACAATAACTAAAGCCTTTCCAGCTTGCAATGCTAAACTTTTCAAAATTTCTCCCACAAATTCCTAAAAGCTCCAAAAGCTTCTGAATCACAAGGTCAGGTTAGTCATAGTAATGGCTCCACTTCTAGGTACCAATTTTTGTGTTAGTCATTTTTTTTCAGCTTCTAAATGACCTAACAAGAACAATTTTAAGAAGGAAAAGTTTATTTGGGAGCTTATAGTTTCAGAGGTTCCAGTCCATAGACAATCATCAACTTTATATCTTCATTCTTCTTCTCCTCTTTGATCTTTAAATTCTGATATATATCTACTTTTCATTTCTACTAAATGTCTTTTGGTTGCAATTTTAATAGAACAAGCCCTAAAAGAACTCTTGGCTCCTAAACCAAGTCCTGCTCCAAGCTTATGCATTAAGCCAATGTCTCCCGTTTTGACTCAGTCTCTCACTCAAAAGTCTTTCAGTATTTGTTTCTGTCTTTGCATATCACAATAAATATACAGCAGGTTAATTCAGCAGTAGTTTCAAAATATATCCCAAGTTCAACAATCTTTTTTATCTCCACTGTTAACACTTGGTCAGAGACACCATCATCTCTGACCCGAATTTATAGTAGCCTCCTCAACAATATTTCTGATTTATCCCATAATACATTCCTCACATTGTAATCTGAGTAATTTTATAAGACAAAAGTATGGTTATTTCACCTCCCTGTTAAAATTTTTCCATTAACTTAGAGTAAAATTCTATGGACTCTCCTCCAAGGTCCTAGGTGTTAAAGGTTTAGTCTCAGCCTGTTGCTCTACTGGGAGGTAGTAGAGGTTCAGAAAGCGGGGTCTAGTGGGAGGTTTTAAGTCATTGGGGGTATGCTCTTAAAGGGGATTGTGGGACCCAGGTCTCCTCTTCTTCCTCTGTTTCCCACCTGGCTATGAGTGCCATAAAGTGAAGGACCACCTCCCTCCCCTACCATGTACTTCTGTCTTGCTGTACTGAGTTGTCATAGGCCCAGAACAACAAGGTCAATTGATCAAGAACCGAAGCCTCACAACTGAGCCAAAATAAACCTTTCCTCTTTATCAGTTAATGATGCCAGGTATTTGTCACAGTAATGGAAAGCTGAGAAATATAGCAGGTTATCATTAAAATCATCCTCAGAAATTGGAAAAAGAAAAAAAAAAGATACTGAATTCTGTTGCCATCCTAGCATTTATGGGGACCAGGGCTGGTATTGGTATTTAAAGTACTACAGGTAAATCAAATGTGCCCCTGACAAAAATTCACTACCTTACTAACCTTGTATTCTACCTTTCATTAATAAACTCTGGGTTCTAAATATATATATTTTTTTTCTATTTTTTAAGCATACTGAACTTGTCCCTCCTAAGGGTGTTTCAATTTGCTATTTCTAGACCTAGAATTCTCTTTTCAAGGATATGTAGATGATCAACTCCACTTGCCAGTGCCTCAATTCAAGTATCTGTAGTGAGGACTTGCCTTCAGTGACCACTTATCCTGAATCAGTATTCTTTCTTTTTATCAACCCAGCTATTCTCTACCTGAAACATCTTTTTCATTTGTCCTGCTTATTTTTCTATTATCTCCCACTGAACTGTAAACATTGTAAGAAAAAAGCCTAGTCTGTTTTGCTCCTCCTTAGTCAGGATAGGCTAAATTCATCTTCAGTGACAGCAAGCCCCCAATCTCACTAGCTAAAAGCAACTAAAGTTTACTTCACATTCATTCCATTGCAGCTAGCTATGATTTAATTCCAGGATAGGCTGGTAGAACAACTACTATCTGGAACATTGAATATCTTCATGATATACAAAAATATCTACTTGATAGTCTCAAACCAGTTGCTGTAAACCAGAAATGGCATATGAAGGTTTCACTCACAACTTGCTGACCAGAAGAGTATAATTCAACACAAAGTAAGTGACTTTAATATGCATCAACTAAAAGATGCTGAAAAAGATTTTTATCCAATTCCTTCAGATTTGCAGAAACCAAGGACCAGACGCTTAAATGATTTTGCCCAATTTTTAGTCTTAGTGTTCCAATAACAAAAATCTGACAAAATATGGAGTGTTTGCATCACATTAATGACTGAAATATACTGTACTAATTTGGCTCACATTATAATGTTTTTTTTATCTTGACACCTCTATAGAAGTTTTTAAAAGTCAATATCACTTTAATCATGGTGTAAGCAATTTGAGAATCATCAGCCTATTCTATGTAGTATTAATAGAAGAAATTCTTGCTGGTCAATCTAAATCAAAAGTTGTCATGGAAAATCCTCACTCTAATGTTAGACAAGGGTCCTTGCCAAAACCCCATTACAAGGAAAACCAGAATATAATATGAGTGTGAGCTTGACCCACTTTAGTCTGAACTTTTTATGTCATGGTGAGTCATATCACACCTAAGTACCAATATATTACTAAGTATAATTTGCTGAACATTCTTTTTCCAGTCCATTGAAAACTTATCAGATATTCTTTTTCAAGGATTATTAAGGTAGTAAAAAGCCAAAATTTATTATCACTGATTTAGTGAGTTCCATATGAATATTAAGATACAGTATAAGCCCTTGACTTTTTAGCTTATTGGAATAGGCTACAGGGTCCTTTATGACCTGGTGTTTTCTTCTTTCCCCAGACTGTCCTGTATCACCTTGCACACCTTCAAGTCAAGGGTCAGCATTTCTCCAGTAGATAATTCTTTTCCTTACTCTATGCATTTGCTTATAATGTTTTTTCATTGATCCAATATCTATTTTCACATCTTGCTTCTTGTCTTACTTTTCAAAAAGATAGTTTTGATCTATTTTGTGAATGTTAAGACTGGGTACCTACTTCATGTGCCCTTTGGTAATTGTCCCCTTAAATATATATGATATAATTAGGATAATAACTGGCCCATGGAAGAATTTCTAGAAGAAAGGATGCATTGATTGATTATTTAATTAATTAATGACTATGACTTGTTAGTTTATATTGTTTATTGCTTAATTTTTTTTTCTGTCGATCCCATTATATAGCAAAGGCAGGGACTGTAGAATTTATCACTGAATCAGAACCTGACATTTCGGTCAGCAAAAAGAAGATGCAGCATACATATCTGCCAATATGATCTAAATTGCACAGATATTCCAAGAAGTAAGAGCTCTTCATTTATGAAATCTTTGCAGTAAAGTTTAAGAAAGAATAGAGTTGAACTAAGGCAAATCTAAAAGCCATTTGTGAAGCAAAACATTTGGTTCAGCAAGGGAATTTAACAGTTCAAATGTGGTTTTGGTTGAAATGTTTGCTTTCCTAACAGGCATTTCTAAAATGTGTTTTCACTGCTGAGGCTGAAAAAATTGTTTTAAAGACATTAGAACATCGAATGTTAAAAATGTCTCTAGCCCTTCCTTAAACTAGAAAAGTTATTGTCAGTAGAAGTGCTTGCAGGCAAGGTTTCAGATTCACATGGCTTCAAAATGTTTCCTTGGGTGAAATGTACTTAGAGACATTTCAAATTGAAGGAATTTTGTTTACCAGCTTAGCTACTAATATCATTTCATTAACACAAGGGTCAGTTCAATGTTGAAAAGTAAAAGTAATATTGATTTCACTACAACAAAACAAAAATTAAAATGAACTTAGAGATGCAAATAACAAAAAATGAAATAAATTTAGCATTCTTCATTCCCAATGCATAATCACCAGTCATAAAACATTATAGAAGGCAGGGTTAAAATCATATTCTCAAATGCCATTGAATGAAGTAATTGTAAAATGAAATATGCAATATGATAAAATAATTTATAGTTTTTACAGGTACACATAATTCCATATGAATTAAATGCTTAGAAAACATACAAAAGACACACTTCACATACCAATACACAAAATAATTACGCTTTCTCCTAGAAAAAAGAAAGGAACCAGGGAAAAATAACTTCAGAATGCTATAATATGTACATTTTAAAACTAATTATATGGATTTGTATTATTTGTAAAATTAGAAATTATGAATTAAAGTATCATTCAATAACGAAGTTTTAGCAGGAGTTAAAATATGAAGTGAATGATTAAATGAAGCAATTTTTAAAACTCTATCTTAAGATTAAGTAGTTTTATCAACTTTTACTTTCCTGAGAGAAATTTTAAAGAGTTTATGTAGCTAGCAAAGATAACAAAACAAAGGGCTTATTTTTAATTTTTTAAGACATGTCCAAATGCTTTCTCTAAAAAAAAAATATATAATTTTTTCAATGGTATTTTGTTCTAAAATTATTTTGTTATCATGATTTTGAACCAATGATTTTTACAGAATATTTAAAAAAAATGACTTCCTTGTTTTGTTTCCAAATTTCTAAAACAATATCTGAAATAGAGGAAATGTGTTTGAACATAATCCCTAATTGTATTTCTCAAATATTTACTTAATTTAAGGTTTACATTTGAATAAATCATTAAAAAATTCTATCAGATCATATTCTATTGTCATTGCAAAAGACAAGTCAAAATAATATCAACTAATTTGGAATGATTTCCATGGTGGATTACTAAATGCAAAATAAAATAATTAATTAAATGTGACACATTACCTATTGCTTCATAAAAATTACTTCAAAACATGGTGGTTTAACAACAGCTATCATCAGAGTTTCTGTGGGTCCAGAATCCAGGCACAGTTTAACAGGACCCTCTACTTACATTTTTAGAAGGCTGCTGCCAAGACAATGGCCAGGCCACGATCATCTAAAGGATCAACAGGGCAGGCTCCATCAACAATCCAGTTCCTTGTAGTCTATTGGACAGAGGACCTGTAATTCTCACTGGTGCCCAAAGCAACTTTTGGTTCCTGAACATGTAAACCACGTCAAAAGGCAGGTTACAACGTGGTACCCGGCTTCCTAAAAGGAACAAGCAAAGAAGGATGATACAGAAACAGAAATCAGTCTTTGATGATCCAATCATGGAATTGAAAAACAACCAACCACCTTTACCATCTTTATCAGAATCAAGTCACTGAGTAGAGCCTACATCCAAAGACAAAGTATTAGATGAAGGTATGACTATCAGGAGGAAGGACTTTTGGAAGCCATTTTTGAAGATTTCTTCCCATGTGTTTAATGTGATCCTTTTTTATTGAAGCAAAAAAGACAAAAAAACACGTTTTCTTATATATAATTATGCAAGTCTCATATTTATAATGAGCAAGGAGAAAATTAGGAAAAGATATTAAACAGGTTAACACAAGAAATCTGACAAACAACTTGTTAGGGAGAGGCAAGAAGTGAAATAAATAAATAAAGATTTTACAATAAATAACAATAACAAAAAGCATGTATATGATTTATGTATATAAAATCATGTATCTACATCTATGTATAAATATTTGTATACATATCTATTATATACTGTGAGGCCTAACAATTTTAAAACAAATACCAACAGAGCTTTAAAAAAAAAAAAGCTGAAGTTATCTTTTCAGCCAACAGACACCAATGAATAAAATTACCGAGTGGCTCACTGAAGGGGAAAAATCAAGACTTCTACATCTTAGATATATGTAGTTCATGATGGTTATAACAATCAGGATTGAAAACCGAACTGTGAATTGGATGTATCCAAAGAACTGTACAAACTTAGTTAAACTAGTGTTGCTTAGTTAAGAAAGTCTTTGCTGGGTGTGGTGGCGCACACCTGTAATTCCAGCAGTTCTGGAGGCTGAGGCAGGAGGATCTCAAGTTCAAAGCCAGACTCAGCAATGGCAAGACACTAAGCAAGTCAGTGAGACCCTGTCTCTAAATAAAATACAAAATAGCTAGAGATGTGGATCAGTGGTTGAATGCCCCTGAGTTCAAT